AACGAAAAGCAAGTGATCCGGTACTCCCGTGGGGTACACTTCTTCAATTATTAACGAAAGCAAGTGATCCGGTACTCCCGTGGGGTACACTTCTTTAATTATTAACGAAAGCAAGTGATCCGGTACTCCCGTGGGGTACATATCCTCTACAACTGACAGAAGCGAAAGTAGCGGGAGGCTCCCGTGGGGCTCTCCTATCACCGATCGAACCAAACTGGGGAGGGAATTGAGTAACTCCCGGATGAGTACGCGAACTCCTAAGTCTGGAACGACTTGTCCGACTTCCCGTGGGAGTCAAAATACCTTTTTTCTTATTTACAATGCATAGGCCAGGTAGGTGAACTGTCAGGGCGACTCTACCAAGAGTTGCTTTAATTGATCTCCTATGCATAAAGCTGGTAGTAGGATGGCTCCCGGGAGGGTTATCTTAATACCTGTTTGTTCTGGGATCGACTAACTAAGGGGAAGAAGTGAAGCGATTATGTTTGAACAAGTAAAGGGATACTCCCGGGTGAGTAACCTTACGACTTGTTCAGATATGACTAATGGATGATATAAATAAGTACTAACGATCCACCTGTTTAACATTAAAGCAGGACATGAGAGGCATCCGTAAGGTCATCCTATTGCTTGCTTATCTTAACAGGTCTAATAAGATACTCCAGCAAAGGGAGGATCTGGTGTTTGCCTGAGTCCACATAATCCCAACTCATCTGACTCTGGGAAAGTAGTAGAGTGACTCCCGTAGGGTCATCCTATTACACCTTTTTGAGGATAGGCTGAGCTTTGATCAAGGAGTGATAGGAGGCTTTTGTGAAGATCACCTATTACTAGATAGAATTCCGTAATGACACCTGGATCTGGAATGTTTTATGAATGTTGGGTCAAGTGTTGAGACGGCTCAACATAGACCTCCTAACTACCTGCTTAACTAATAAAGGGATACTCCCGGGTGAGTTATCCTGTCGCTTGCACTAGATTGCTTGACCTACTTGGTTGCGTGAGAACTGCATGGACTTGAAGGGTGGCTGAGTGCTCCAGTGGGGCTACTCAACTACACCTTTTGACTAACCGATTTGCCTGGGATTGATCAAGTAGTGGAAGAAGAGGAGAAAAAGGGGAGCGACTCCAAAGATTCCTTAAAAGGAACGTAAGAGAAGGCGAATATCGCGGGGAAAAGACAATTAGAGAAAGAAGACACCCCGTGTAGCCAGAGTTCATTGGAAAAACCGACACTGGCTTGAGTTGATTTCGGCCAGACAACCGCATAAAGCACAAAAGGGTGTGCTTATCTGCACCTTGAAATAAAAGGAGGAGGAGTGACAAACGACTCGGGGTAGAAGCTAGGGGTTAGACTCTGGGATGTTGGTCCCAAAGCTCACAAACCAGATTTAAGGGTTTGACCCTTAGATATCAATAAGTGGGAAATCGAGTGGGGATGTTGAATCCTTGTTGACCTGTGTGTGTGCAGGTCTTTGCTTTGGTCTACTGCAATTGAAGGAGAAGTCCTACATAAAGAACTCAATTTTCTGTTATCACTCGATAACAGGTCGGTCGTTGCCGATTCAACTCTTCCTCCTTGACTTGATACCCACTTCTAAAGTCAAACCCTGTGGTCAGTAAAACTGTCACCTGTGGTCATTGCCTAAATGGTCCTGGTCACTCTCAAGGGTCCTTTGAATAAATGTGAGGGGGYTGGGCTTGCATCTCAGRAAAGAWAGAGYTRTYATMCATGGTTTGGGRAGTGAGGGACAATGYCAATGGTTGATGGTTGRCGYCSTTAGTGCRTGGCATGTRAACTGTCTTTGCATTATTCTGTGCAGGTCTGTCTTGTGCATAGTTTGGATTGGACTGGGATTGACATCGTGAAGAGTCTGGACACTCAGCACTTGTGAAAGTGGGAAGGGTTCCCAAAGGTAATACCTCCATATTCATTATCAAGTCTTATATTACTCTATGTTATTTGATGATCAGTCATACGTTGAGTAGAATAGAATAGCCTCGGTAGTGACAAGGTTTGTTTGATACTTTGATCATAGTGGTCAGAAAGAGAATGTGCTTTTGGAACAGAAGCGGAAATAGACGACCATCTCAAAGTTCGACCTGAATATCTAACGGGTCAGTCCTAGGCGTCTTACCGCGCGTACCCCATTTTGTGCTACAGCGATCGAGCAAACGCCCTCGGCCGACCTACCTCTACACAGGCATGTAAAAGCCTTCGCATGTGGGCCGGTAGCTCARCAGGGATACGCCTACCTGAGGGTGGTGACAGCCCCTTGGGTAGAGGTAAGTTGTACCTCGCGACGTCCCGACCTGCCGCAGGGCGTCGTGACAGGTATAACACGCGCGCACGGTTGGAGTGGTGACTGGTTCTTTTCAGACGAAACATCCTGCGTGACACGACCGTGAGGTTCAGCGACCCCATCAGGGCGAGGGACCGCCACGCGCGACAACGCTGTACCTAAGATCTTTGCAAGACTCACTGCAACGGAGTACTCTAGGAACCTCTTTGCCTTGCTTGCTCATGATGCATTTGT